CTGTAATTTAGCAGAAGTGATCATCTGCACCAATGCAAAGGGATGTCTGTAACCAGTCAAACGTGATCATTTAAAGCTGATTCGTAAATGATTATGGAGCATGAGGGCGGTTAAGTGTTCTTGTTGCATTTCTGGTAATATTAACTAACGATGGATGAATACTCCGAATGTACTCTGTAAGAGTGGAAAGTGTGTACCCACTACGGAGGACACCCTAAGTCCATACAGTTCAACACTGTTAGTTGGTAGCGAATCGGCGGTGCGGGAGGTGTGGACTGCGGAGAAAGGGATTCAAAATTTGAACACCCTGCACTTGGAAGATGGAAAACGAATACGACCGGTGATGATTCGCAGAGAAGACCGTCAGCTGCGCCACATGTGTCAGCAAACACAGCCCCAGCAGCTAAGCCACAGATTGGTCTTGATTGCCGATAATGTTCCCACCTGCACCGAGCTACTGATGCTATCCGATAGAAGCGAGGCCATAACCGCTGAACACATCGCTCCCGTCTAAGCCAGCTGCAAACGCTCGAAGTGGGCTCCGTCATATCCGAGAGAGTAGCAGGAATATCGCTGACCAAAGCACCTCTCTCGACATCGGCGTCTTTCGTCCCGACCTGCCTTTTTCGCGTGCATTCATATTCCTAACAGAGTGTCGTCATAGCTGTTGCTGAAAATAGCCCACTATGTCTCGGACTGGGACTTGGCTGAAGATGCTGGTGGCGTAAGGACTCCCTTTCAGGATGGTTAAGCGGTTTTCCATTATGCGCGTCTGACAATTGTGTCTCTTTCTGTCGACAGTGGAACCGTGATCTGTGTCGGCGGCCCAGCATTCGTCCAATCCATCCGACCTACCGACGAGGAATTATTCAAGCGATACAACCCCGATCTTCAGAAGCGGAGCTTGGAGGAAGGCGATCGCCGTGCTCGAGAGTTTGATGATTATGTTACACGGTTGAAGCAATGGTCAAAGTCGGATAAGTCTAGTGCGTCCTTAACTACACCGGTTGGCATGTAGGAGGTCATTGCCTAATTTTTCTGCATTATAGTTTGGTTCGCTGCGCAGGAACAGCAAGAACAAAAGCGCGCGGAGCTCGAGAGTCAACGGAGTCAGACGAAGGAGGAAGCCAGGTTACAACGCGAAGAGATGCGGAAGGAGTTGCTGGGGGAGAAATGAGCTTCAAATGTGACGCGTTTGCATTGAAATCAAATTACCATGGACGGCCTTTGGAGTAAGATCTGCTTAGCAGAGCATTGCCCCTATTGTCTTCACTTTCTTGTATTTATATGCATTACTGATGTCCCTGGTGCTACCAAAAGCTTATGTATAATATGATGTGAACATTTTCAGGAGCCATCCGGCTAGATTGGTACCAGCCCTTTCTTTCTGCATCACAAGGGCATGCATTGCGCGCCTTGTAGATTTGAGTGATTGTTGGAGCCTCTCATATTGCAAAGCCCACTTTTGCAAATACGAACGATTCGTCTGTACCATTGCAAGTTAGCGATGATAGTACTAGTGCGTGATTGAGCTTKGGCGTATCCGATTCAGCGGGTATAACGGCAGACTGAAAGTACTTTGGCAATCGCCACGGAAGTATGCAGGGAAAAGGTCGATAACCGCCTAGTGATAACCGAGTATCAAGTGGCTCCTATAGCCGAGGAGGTAGCTAACGGCGTAGGCGACTCCAGAATCTGACGTACGCAGTACGCCTCAATCCGTCCATTATGATAATGGAGGTAAATCAGAGTCCTAAATATCAGTCGAGATCCTCCAAGCGTCTTTTGCGAGTCATTGTTTTCTGAGTTAAAATCGCTGCAGAAAGTCAGCAGTGGATGAGGGTTGTTTTTGTTCCCCTTGATACCAGATCCAGCGGACAACACTGTTCATGGACTCTGAGTGATGGTCACTGGCCATTTCTTATCATGATGATAATTTCAGACGGAAGATTCTTTTGGTAATATATATACACTCCTTTATGCAAGTCGAGCACAGTACGGAGTTGATAGGTATGAAGTAAATCGACAGGTCTTGGCGATTCGCGGACATGAGGGTTGTCTCATTGGCTCCGGCTCCTCCGCCACAGCTTCTAGGAATCGACAATTCAACATCCTCTCGAGACACGGAGGGAAGGAGCCTGGTTAATTTTGAACTGATGATGCCTGATGTGAGTGCATTGCAAATCCTAGGAAATCATTTCTCAGCCCGAGATCAGACGAACTTAGTTTCTTGGCTGTGGCGGGTTGTCAAAGGAAAAGACGTCTGTTCGGTTGTAATGTTGCACAGCCTCTTGCTGATATGGTGGAGGTACTCCKGGCTCTGTACTCCATTGCCTATTATGATATCTCAAGGCACGTGTATGCAGAGTCCACCATTATCGATTTGATGAGCTTCTTTGTTTCAACCAAGTGACCATGTTACGAGATATTACATGCTTGAAAAGTGTCGGAAAATTTGCAGTACTTATGCATTCTGTAGTCATCGTACTACTTTCAGCAGCGTCGACTTGTTCTGGAACTGTTGGATGAATTCTCTTCCCTTCTTTGTAGGTTCCACGGTAAAAATAGCTGCCTAAGCGTGTCTGGCAACGATGAGTGGCTAGCATGTCACGTGCCAGGACCGGATCGAACCAAACCCGCTTCCAGTCTCCAGAAGGCGGGCGGCGATTTATCACACCCTGTCAGCTTCACTCAACCATCGCTCTAACTATTTACCTCTCACTACGCTACAAGGCCCTCCTGTCCGCTATCGTTTACACGTTCGCCTCTAGATTTACGGGTTATTTCTGTCCTACGACGTTTACGGCATCTCATCCGCGAAAAGAAGGCTTCAAAACAGGCCTTCGCAAGCCTCCAAGCAAGTCGGTGATCCACCAGCTCTCACCACTCGAACTCAGGATATAACGAATTTCATCCTCGAAAGTCATCATGTCTGAGCAGCCTTACGATCCTTATATTCCTTCTGGCTCTAACGGGCCCTCCGCCAGCGCCGGCAACGCAGCGCAGAATGGCGACCCTCGGACAAGGGAAATCGACAAAGTAAGTGAATTGGCTTGTCTCTGGGCATTGAAAGAATAGCCTTTACGGCCCGGGTTTGCAATTATTGAGGCTATATGGCAAGTTTCAAAGCTTGTCATGCAGCACGAGCGCTATCCTTTTTTGGCGGTCGAGGCTTTACGTTCTTCAATGCCTATTCTGAACTATTTGGGCTGACTCTTTCCCCCCTTACCCAATAGAAAATCCAAGAGACCGTCGACACGATGCGCTCGAATATTTTCAAGGTATCGGAGCGTGGCGAACGCCTGGACTCTTTGCAGGACAAGACAGACAACCTGGCCGTATCTGCCCAGGGCTTCCGTCGTGGCGCTAACCGCGTGAGGAAGCAAATGTGGTGGAAGGATATGAAGATGCGCGTGTGCCTGGTCATCTGTATTATCTGCTTACTCATTGTCATCATTGTTCCTGCTGGTATGTCTTCCCCGCTCACTCTCCGCACACTCAGGGTGACCGAATGCGCTGGCTAACTTTTGGATTCTAGTTGTCACGACCACCAGACATTAAGTTACGAACGCAGCGAAAGTCATGTCTGATTTTGGGAATGGATGTTATTTTCAAGCAGGTCTATTTGCGTTGAGGTTGTGCAGTTTCGTTTTCAGCCACTAATACCTTTCTGCTTCTTTTCTGGGCGTCAACAACTTCTGTGCTTATGAATCAAGCTTCGTGTCTCGGCAAGCCTCTCCCGAGATACTCGTCTGATGCACGGGATGGGCTATACCATATGATCCGTCGCTGGTGAAGATGTAAATGATACTCCGGGCTCCGGCACTTCCCCGTGTTTCAATACGTTATTGCCTTTGGTCTTTGTGTCGACTTTGTCCGCCATCTCTTATAATGAAATGAATCCGTATATGCCAATTCTGATGATACTGCTTATCTTTGCTCTCAATTATAAGGTATGGAGACTTGACGAGTGAGAACGCGCCTAAGAAGATATAGCTATCTCCACCATCAAGTATCTAGACACAAGTACAGAACGCAATGTAAGGAACTGCTCCATTCTCCAGGTACGAGAAGTGGAGCTTCATATATGGAGTACGCTAGCCAGGCTAGCCTATGAAGGGGTCAGGAGGAAGCGCCAAAAGATCAGATAACGAAGGCGCAGAAATGGCACGACTTCGAATTTCCGCTGTTCGTTACATTTCTGCAAAGTGCTGGCTCTGATTGAAGGCTCAGAAGGTTGGCTACGGTCGGCCAAACCTCCAGCGCAGAATATTATGCCAAAGTGGATAGTAAGGAATTTACTACAATGGGTTAATTTGACAATCAGATGAGTGATTATTGCTGCATGGCCGGCCCTACCGTGTATGGCTAGGATTTCTTAAAATGAGCAATCATAGCAACCAATTCCGCGTATACTGGGACCATTACAAAATTAGGAAAGGAAATGGAGATCACCTCTCGCGACCAACAGCCCCATAGACTGATAGAGGTACCTGAGTTTGACTATTGAGTCACGATAGCCGGCTCCGATGGTCGCAGCCAAGCCCGGGCTCACATTGGTCGGAAAGGGTTTATGACTCTCTGATGTCTCTCCGGTCTTCTTCGCACTCCTTCTCCTCCCTTACTATTTCTGGGATTCTTTTTCAAAATTTTAGTGGTGCTAAACACCTCATATTAAGTGTTGAGTTATTTTCTCCGCGCGAGTCTGGGTTTTCTGAAAAAGCAGGCGAGAAAAGCCGCGCAGGGTAGCGACTGTGAGTACCACCCGCCTTATTTATTGGGAAAAACCCACTCCGACGTGCGGCCGATTTCCTGGGCGTCTTTGGAGATCAAACTCTTTGGAGTGTGGTAAAATCCATTGCGCACCCACGCAAACCCTTCTGTAGACCTCTGACCTGGTTCTACTTTTCTCCTTTGCTATCTCTTACTCACACTGAGTTTCATCTAGACATTGTGTTCGTTCCAAGACGATTGAAAGCTGCCGCATGCTGGTTGACAAGATGTTCTCCCTTCGCACCGCTGTGCGGAGAGCTTCCACCAGCAAGCCCCTCCGCGCTCTCTCCGCACCGCACGCCGTTTCCTCTGCGAGACTCTGCTCTCCTCGTCATGCTCTGAAAGCTTCCGCTGTCCCGTTGCTGCAGAGCCGTCCCTATTCCCGTGCCGCAGACCCTCACCTCTCGTCAACTCGGTCTACCGTTGTCCAGCTGCTGAGCAACATTGGTTCGAAGCGTGAGGTGCAGCAGTATCTCTCTCACTTCACATCGGTCTCCTCTCAGCAATTCGCCGTGATTAAGGTTGGCGGTGCTATCATTACCGAACACCTTCAGACACTATCCTCGGCTMTTGCCTTCCTCAACCACGTCGGCCTCTACCCCATTGTCGTCCATGGAGCCGGACCTCAGCTCAATCGCATGCTGGAGGCTGCTGGCGTGGAGCCACAATTTGAAGATGGTATCAGAGTAACGGATGGCAAGACCTTGGCCCTTGCCAGGAAGCTGTTCTTGGAGGAGAATCTGAAGCTGATCGAGGAGCTGGAACGTATGGGTGTGAGGGCCCGTCCAATCAACGCAGGCGTGTTTTACGCCGACTACCTCGACAAGGAGAAGTACAACCTAGTTGGTAAGATCAACGGCGTCAACAAGAAGCCTATCGAATCTGCCATCGAAGCTGGCTGTCTGCCCATCCTGACCTCTATGGCGGAGACCCCTGACGGCCAGGTCTTGAACGTGAACGCGGACGTCGCTGCCGGTGAACTGGCTCGTGCCCTGCAGCCACTGAAGATCGTGTACCTTGCTGAGAAAGGCGGATTGTTCAACGGTGACACTGGCGAGAAGATCTCTGTGATCAATCTCGATGAAGAGTACGACCACTTGATGACGCAATGGTGGGTGCGCCACGGCACTCGCCTGAAGATCAAGGAGATGAAGGAGCTGCTCAACGACCTTCCCCGTACCTCGAGCGTTGCCATCATCCACCCCGCTGATCTCCAGAAGGAACTATTCACCGACTCTGGAGCTGGAACTTTGATCCGCCGGGGTAACAAAGTGCACACAAAGACTTCTCTTTCCGAGTTCGAGGACTTGGAGAAGCTGAAGGATGTGCTTGTCCGCGACCGCGAGGGCCTTGATGCGAGGGCTACCGTCGACCGCTACGTCGAAGGCTTGAAGGAGCGTGACTTCAAGGTTTACTATGATGAGCCTATGGAAGCTCTTGCTGTCGTCTTGCCCCCAGGCAAAGATAACACTTCTTCCTTCCCCCACCTTGCTACATTCACGATCACCAAGTCCGGATGGTTGTCCAACGTCGCCGACAACGTTTTCGCGGCCATCAAGAAGGACTTCCCTCAGTTGGTTTGGACAGTCAAGGAGAACGACGAGAACCTTACTTGGTTCTTTGACAAGGCCGATGGTAGTCTGAGCCGCGACGGTGAGGTTCTCTTCTGGTATGGCATCGAGAGCGGCGAAGAGGTCAAGCAGCTGGTGCAGGAATTTAACCAGCATGGCCGCCAGATGTTTGGTGACATCAACCTTGAGGCCAGACTCCAGCGCGCTGCTCAGGCGGCCACTCACATTGGCAAGGGCTTCGGTGCTAGCGGTGCCTCTGTTGAGCAGAAGCGTGCATTCTCCTCCACCGCTAATGCTTTGCGGGCCGCTCGCTTCGGACGTCCCGCAGTCGCTCCCAGCGCTGTGAGATCCTATTCCACCACGAATCCCAACCCTCCTCTGGGAGAAAAGAACATGTCCAACAACCGGCCCTCCAAGGTTGCTCTCATTGGAGCCCGTGGCTACACTGGCCAAGCCCTGATCAACCTGATCAATGCTCACCCCTACATGGATCTCCGCCATGTTTCTTCTCGCGAGCTGGCTGGCAAGAAGTTGCAGGGCTATGACAAGCGTGAGATCATTTACGAGAATCTGAGCCCCGAAGACGTGAAGCGCATGTCTGCGAATGGTGATGTGGACTGCTGGGTCATGGCTCTACCTAACGGTGTTTGCAAGCCGTTCGTAGATGCTGTCGACCAGGGCTCTGAAACGGGCAACGTCATTGTTGACCTGAGCGCTGATTATCGCTTCGACGACAAGTGGACTTACGGTCTTCCTGAGCTGGTCAACCGTGGTAAGATCGCTCAGGCCACTCGCATCTCCAACCCCGGTTGCTATGCTACCGCTGCCCAAATCGGCATTGCTCCTCTCGTTCCCTACCTCGGTGGACAGCCCACCGTTTTTGGTGTCTCCGGATACTCGGGCGCTGGCACCAAGCCTAGCCCCAAGAACGATGTGCAGAACCTCACAAACAACATTATTCCTTACAGCTTGACTGACCACATCCACGAGAGAGAGATCAGCACACAGCTCGGAACTAGCATTGCCTTTATCCCCCACGTCGCTGTGTGGTTCCAAGGCATTCACGTATGTACTTCGCTCCCATTTGTCTTTTGTCCCTTCTTCTATATGCTTGTTCCACGCACTAACCTTGTTTATACAGCACACCATCAGCATTCCTCTCAACCAGGAGATGACTTCTCGCGACATCCGCAACATTTACCAGGAGCGTTACGCCGGCGAGAAGCTTGTGAAGATCATTGGTGAGGCGCCTCTTGTCAAGAACATTGCTGGCCGTCATGGTATCGAGGTCGGAGGATTTGCCGTTCACTCCAGCGGCAAGCGTGTCGTTGTTTGCGCTACGATCGACAACCTTCTGAAGGGTGCGGCTACTCAGTGCCTCCGTAAGTACTCCCGCCCAGTGCTATTTCGAATGGACAGATTGCTCATACGCCTGTCACAGAGAACATGAACCTCGCTCTCGGCTATGGCGAGTACGAAGGCATTCCTCTCGAGTAAAACTTTCTGTGAATGGTAGACATCAGTTATATATGTTTGGTATAGTTCGAGGAAGGTATGTGATGTATATCAAACATGGATGTGTTTGATAATATAAGGAGGTCTCATTTGGCGTCGAATTTATACATTGGGTTTCCTCCTGGTCATCTTTCCTTTCGCATGTCTCATACCCGCATGCATCTCTATCGGAGCTATGGTTCGAGAGTTCCGTAACGGTTCTTCATCTATCTTTTCCCATACTGCCGTTATCGTTTCTGTCTTAATTCGCGGAAAAGAAGAGTATTTTGTCTGGCGGTGCATTGATGCTGACGGGCTCAAGATGAGATATCGGGCATCCACAACTTACCGACTTTCTATGTGAGCCCTGCTCGCCTTTGGTTTTCACGGTTGGAAAGAGACTTTCGGTCTGGAAGTCCTGGGCCTTGAAAGATTGATTGCTGGTGTAGACTTACAGTTTAAAAGCAGAGGTAGACAATAGAAGAGTCGATTCGACCGAGTCAGAATATCAATAACTGGTGGTCCAGCTTTCAGCAGAGTAGGGGCATCCACGCGAAGTGAGCTCAGTTCCGAACTTGCAGAGGACTCTGGCATCAGGTGCTGAAGCACTCACTTCTGCTCTCTTCTCGATTATCGATCGAAGAACTTTCCGGTTTCCAGGCCCTCAGCACTTGTCTCTTATCCCTCCATCGCCTCGCATCATTCATAATTGTGTCAACAGTCACCTTCTTTCGCAGGGCATGAGCATCATTCGAGCTAGACTGTTAGGTACACTTTGAGGAAGCAAACCCCCATCTGCTCTGCAGATGTGATAGTAAGCCTCCGGAGTTCTACAACTGCTTCTCGTCCAATGTCCTAGAACGTACCTGTGACTGCCTCGGGCTAGAAAGCTGACAATCTCAGAGGCCTACGGTCTAGGGCAATACTTTGAATCATCATCGCAATATAGAGTCTATCCCAGAAACCCTCACACACCAACAGACACTCTCGACGCGCGAAGGCCCAGCTCGGGGTCGCGACAAGAGTGGTCCAACTTAACATTCATATTTAAAAAGACAAGGCCACAAAGGATCATCATCATGTTCTACAGTCACGAAAGTAAGTACTGTCTTTCTGTAGACTCATTTCTAGAGGCTCTCTGTACTCTTCCGGGTCCTTTTCCCGCTTTTACGCAGCTGACTCTTGCGTTTACTCTAGTACTCACATCCCCCGAGCACGGGGTTGCTACGATCTGGTATGAATTCTTTTTCAACTTGGAACCTACGTAGCAGCTGACATGTTCTTCTCGCAGGCTGGTCGCAACGCTAGGTTCGAGGTCCATCACGAGAAGATTGAACAAGAAGGCGATACTGGACGTGGATGTTCCGAAAGCGTGCGAGGTCATCATGGATCCTGCAGCACCTATGGCGTTAAGACTCCAGGGGAACCTACTGTGAGAGCTCCATCATCTGGATCAAACCAGGCGATCGGATTATTGACAGCAGACTACGCAGATACGGAGTCGCCAGAGTCTACAATCAACAGTGCCGCTATACACTCACAGATGTTCAGGCAATGCATGACAGATTGAGATCAATGCTGGGAGCTCTCCCCGGCACTGCGTTGGATCCGTCGGCTGGCAAAGTTAGGTTCGTTTTTCCCTGCTTTCCACTCGTTATATCGTTGGGCACTTGTGTCATTGAAAGCATACTAATGCAGTGCTTTTCTCAGGCCTGATCAGCTCATCTTGCCGTATGACACGTCGTTCCTTCCTGAGAACAATCTACCAGGGTTGGGTTTGGATTTTTTAGGGTTGAATCCGTCGAAGGATGAGCGAGCAAGCCAGCAATTCAACTTCCAATTACCAATTACCCCTGACCTAAGTCTGACCGCTGCCTCACGTAACTCCAGTCTGCAGCTTGACTTTGCGTCTCAAGATCTAATCCTGGCGGATATACATGGGTTCGGCTCTGAGAGCGAAATGACGAATTCCATTCAAAGAACCGTTCAACTTGGGCGGATTGCAGCATCGGCTCTCAATGATGAAGAGGGCATTCTTCTGCAGCCTGACTTTGACTTTGATGAAGATGGAAATCTCATTGAGCTTGGGGGGCTAAACGCTGCTGCTGAGGTTGAAAAGCGCAGCTCCGGCTGGCTTGATGCTGAGCCACCGGTCACTGGTGAGGTGAAAGAGGGTGAATTGAATGACATCTCCTGGGACTATCAGGTACGGTTTGAACAGTACGGGTTCTTCTTCTTACTGACAATATCTCCCCAGCCAATGCTAGACGAGGGCATCCAAGGAATTACTGAACACGGACAGCCTACCCCCGTTTTCAACGGAGATACATCTATGCCTCAAGCCCCTGAAGTACAACACACAGAAGAGGTAGATATTGTTTCAGAAACTCGGGAGGCATCAATGCGTCGAACTCGAAGAATCCCGAAAGCCGTTGCAACAGATACTCAAACCGCGCTGCGAAACACTGAACTAGCTCAGTACAACAATGAATACGTGCGAAACATGGCCGCTGCTCTAAAGCAGAAGTTGAAGAATAGAGTGCCTACCCAAGCTAAGAAGAATGCAGACTTCTGGGTCTTCGGCCAGGGAATTGGCTCAGTTGGCGTTGGGTTGGGAACTTCTCATGTCCAGCATCCTTTGCACTTGTTCTCGGGGGAGACTTTGTACGCATCACTGACAAGCGTTGAAAGATCGAAGAAACGCAAGGGCTCTCCTTCAACAACTGAAGACAGCGATGCTGATTCCGAGACTCGACGCGTTCGACGCAGGGAAGAGTCTGAGGAACAACTCGGCCGAGGTGGACTCTTTCAAGACGATAACAACTTACATGATGTTCGTGGGATACATCTCTTTCCGCGCTGTTTGATTTTGGGCCTATGAGCCATGAAATACTGACAGTCATCTAGGATATAGAGATTGGCCGTCATGTCTCATCTGTCCTTCGAGATGACTCCTCCCAAATGCCCTGGAATATCACAGCGTCCGTTCGAAGCTCCCGCCTTGGACTGTCTGCAACAAGCATCTTCCGTGGATTTGGCAGCATTAGTGACTTTTCTGCTCGGGGCATACGCGAATCTGCAGCCTCCGTACCTCCACTTGCAGCACCAGGCAGAGCTCAAAGTCGCCTAACAAGTGCAAGTCCTCTGGCTGGACGGGGCTTTCAGTACGACTTGGAGGGCCTTGCAATCCCCGGAACCCAAGAAGATGATGTGAATTTCCTAGAAGATGTTGATCTAGCTGGCTACATCCAGAACGATCTTGACGTTGAAACCAACGCTGAACCCAAGGATGAGACTGATAGGAAGCGAGCAGCCTTCCGTGACCGGCTGTTGAAATCTAGTATGGACCAGGAGAGCCTGAACTTTCTCGAATTTCTCAACCTGCAACTTAAGAAGCCCGCTCAAGGTTTTGCAGAGCAGGATACTGTTCATGATAATGGTGCTGGCTTTCTTCGTCTTGATGCCTCCGATGGTAAAGAAGCAGCATTTTCGACGCTCCTGCCTCCTGAAACCACTTCTCGTACTGTCGCTACGCATGGCCTGATGCACATACTTACCCTGGCGACAAAGGGCTTTCTTTCCGTTCATCAGGGGCCGTACGAGGATGAGAGTACCGAGGAGTACGGTGTTCGCTACAAATTTGGAGAGATATACTTGCGCTTATCCGACATGTAGGCATTCCTACGATGGATATCGATCGCAACGACAACGTGTAAAAGTGACATTCAAAATCTTCTCGTATTTCATTTTCAACCTCCGTCTAACAATAAGGCTCATATTCAATTATCTGCTACGCAATGATTCTATCTATTTGCTTCAATTTCCCGTGGAAATGCATTTTTTTACTTCTCTGTCTACTATTACTTGTTTTCTTTTGTTTCCCTTCGTTCCTCCTTTAGTTTTTTTCATTCGTCCTTGATTTTACCATAATCAATACTACAAAGTCTTTTGTATCTACTCGAATATCTCTTCAAAAAGCATATTTTCACTTGGACACGGTCTCAGCTCTTCCTGAAGTGCGTTTCAAATTAGCTGTGAACTTGGACATAGTAGTAAAGCTGGCAGTGTAAGTATTTGGACCATCCACCCTACTTCTCGATATTGATCGCTGATCGATGCGATTAAGTCGCTGGACATAATCAACACTATCAGCTGGTGTTAATCTTTATTGTTCATGCTTAAAAGTGATGCATGGAGTACATTTCCGTTAAGGGTAAGATCTTGACAATTTGTCTGTCTATATAGGATCTGCCGCCTGATTTTATGTCGCACTTATTGGCCGGCTGGCCTAATGGTAAGGCGTTGCTCTCCTAAAGCAAAGATTGCAGGTTCGATCCCTGCGTCGGTCGAAGTTTTTGTTCTTTTTTCTTTTTCCCTTCCCTTCCCTTGTCCCCCAAAAATTCCAAACCTATCATCTTCACTGAAGACGATCTTGTCGATTCCTTCTGAATTACTCTATATGGAAGGAAGATCCCTACGGAGTACCATCTACTACGTATCAAGGTTCGATTAGAGCGCGTATATACCACAAAATATATTCCTTGATGATGACCGGTACGGAGACAAATGTCAAACGGTGTAGCGTCACAGGTATTTTCAGGCTGTAAAAACAACTGGCATGTTTCAAGCCTGCATACCAACGACGTATTGGATATGTTCAGTAATGGCAAATACAGCATCAACAGATCGCCAGGGCGCGCATCAGTCCTTCGCTCAATGCTCGTGCATTAATGTTCACTGAAGAGCTTTTGGACTTGAGACTCTACAAGGTGTAGCATTGTCTTCTTAAGTCTCGATGCCTCCTACTCCGAGACAATACGCGAGGGAGATGATGGTTGTGCACGGCTTTCAGTGGAGGAATGATCGAAATATACCTCTTTGAAATTTAAAATGTATATCAGCTATCTACTCTCCATTGAGATGACCGCATGATTAAATAGAACCGTGATGCATGGGGAATTTACGCAGTATATGCGTAGCAACGGCCATGGTTATCGCATGGA